ATTTGTTTATTTTCTTTCCATTGAACATATTTCTGCAGGCAATGGATTATTTCTTGTTTTTGTGAAATATTTTTTGAAGGTTTCCTTACATAAGTTTATCGCGTAGGACTGTTAATGCAAATTTTTATTCTTTTGGTAGAGCCTATTTGCATCATAAAAAAGTAAAACTTACCATGGGGAAAATCGTTTTGAGGGAATCCAATTGAGTTTCAGAAATAAGCTTTGTGAACCTTTGTGGTTTATGTTGGACTTCAAACTTTCAAGTTATCACGGGGGCTAGAAAATTCTTTCCTAATTCATGATCTTTTTGCTAAAGTAGCTAGGAATTTGTTGGTGATTGATAAGAACTTGAAGGTAAAACAAACTTTGATGAATATTTTCTGCTGATTTTGAAAGGTTATGTAACATGACTTTGAGGTGATATATGATTCCACAAAAAATAAATGAGAGTATTTTCCCAGACTTCAGTAGCTGAACCCATATGTTGATACTATGTCAGTTATATGAGTGTAAATAATTAAAAATGTTTCTGTTTGGGATTTGAATATTTTTGTGAAAAATTTACATGATTGATAGTACTTCACTATAGAATTTAGCTATCCATAATTGGGTTAGCAATCTCTTAATTGGTCACTTTGTTGAATGTGCTGGCACATCAACAGCTCTTCCTCTTTCTTTGATCTCACTAGGGATGCAGCCATCTTTTTATATTATTCAAGCTTCGGTTAATATTTTATTATTTTTCTTCCCCATTCAGCAATGGTCTAAATTTAACCAAAAGGTGACAAAAATGGAAGGAAACGAGAGGATCTGAATGGTGGAATACTGGAGTTTTACAACGTTTGACTGTTTTTTTTATCATTATTTAATTGTTTAATGATTATAAGGATAATGTTATCTGTCTTAGGTCTTTTTCTTTAAAAACACTGAGTCTCTCTCTCTCTCTCTCTCTCTCTCCTTGTAGATGGTAGGATTTATCCCCGAACCCACCATTGAAGAAGAACAACAGCATCTCAATCAAGCATCAAAGGTCAAAAGTTTTAACGACCCACTTGACCCTTTTCATCCCAAGGTCAACGATTTAGCTTTGGTTGATTCTTTCCCCAGTTTTGATTCTATACAGCATTGGTTTGACGATAACCTGAACTTTGACAGTGTTAGATTGAACAACTGTGAATTCGGGGCTATTGAGAGGGTTATGGAGGTGGTTCAAGAAGAATCTACTGAGAAAACCAGCGTTAAGAACCAGTTTCCTCTGGTATCTGAGCCAACTTCTAATATGGCTGAGTTAGTTGGTTGCAGCTCAAATTCAACTGGATGTGTATCTACGTGTCTGCTAAAAGTGAATTCGGAGGAAGAGGCGCATAAACAGGAGGGAGACTTCAGTTGTTGTATTGAGGAAAAGATGGAGAAGGTTAAGGCAGTAGAAGAAGCTTCTGGTGAAGAAACTCTTATTAGGGACCAGCTTTTGCTGGTGGCTGAGCCAGTTGACAGGCCTGAGTTAGTTGTTGGCAGCTCTAAGCAAAATGAACATTTATCTAGTTGTCTGAAAATTGAGGACCAGGAGTGTCATCAACCAGAGGGAACTATTGTGGAAGAGATGGGGAAGGTTAGTTTAGTTGGTGGGTCTCAGAATTTTCCTGCTGATGGGAATTGTGTTCCAAAGATTGAACCACAAAATGAAGCTGACAGTGAAAGCAGTTCGGAGTCAGAGAGCGAAAGCTCATCATCTGGGTCCGATTCTACTGATAATAGTAGTGATGATGAGGAAGAGGAGGAAGATGCAAAGAAGCAGCAAGTGGAAGGGAAGATGTATTTGGAGAGAGAGGGAAATGTGGCTGGTGAGATTGAAGAAGGTGAGATAAGGAATGTTGATGGGGAGGCGGGCAATGGAACTAATGATGATTCTGCTGATGATGAGAGTGAAGAAGACGAGATCGACGACGATGATGATGATGACGATGATAATGGAGACCAAATGATTAGTGCGAGTGATATTGAATTTGGTGACATTGGTGATGATGATGTCAATGAACAGATAACAGGGCCCATCAAGTCAAAGAATGAGCTTCAGGTAGATTAATCTGGCTTTAAAGTGATTCTTTTACAAGGTTATTTTCTATTTGTTGTAAGCTAATTAATGTGTGAAGATTGCAACATACAAAATCTTGCAGGTTTGGTGTTATCTGCTGAAATTTGGTATCTTAATGTTATTGTAGGGTGGATATGGTTGAATTAAGTTTTGTGAAACTTAGATTAAAAAGAAAATTGATTTTAGTTTTATTGGTGCTTGAGTTATTTACCTGTGACGATTTATGTAGGCTCCACTACAAATTGAAAGCTTTGTTCCTCCTATAGGTGACCTTGACATTTGCGTTACTTGTATTTCAACCTGACATAGAAACATCTTATCAAATATATAACAACCATTGCTTGTGAGTTTGATTTGCTTGTGTTGGAGAGTAAGAGGGGAGACTGATAAGAATAATTGAGAATTATCTTTTAATGATATTCTAATGGAAACTTGCAATTGAAGGAATATTTCAGAAAATTATTGCTAGAGTAAAGTTAAACCATAGAGAACACTAGAAAGTTATTTTTAATCATTTGGTCAGTGCAAGGTTGTAGATTCTATTTGATATTTGGATGTGTCTCAAGTTATCTCGGTGCCAATTGTCAATGCACAGACACACACATTCGCCCCTAGAGATATTGTCAAACCTACCAATATGTTTTTCTGCCTCGTCGAACTTTAGAAGTTCCATACCAGTTTGCACCAAAGAATTCCAGGTGTGTAAACACAAGTTAGTTGTTCACTGTAAACATGTTGGATACATTGTTGTTCTAACAAACAGAGTTTTTTGGTTTTTTTTCTTTTTTGAGATAAAAGAGAGGAAAATGTATTGAGTGTAAGCACCAAGGGGGTGCCACCTATATACAAAAGATTTACAAGTTAATGAGCATATCTACAATAAAGCCAAAATCATCAATGTTAAGAAGGTTATGTCCTAAAATAATGGATAAAAAAAAAATAATGGATCAAAAAAAGTGAAACCATTTGTCCTTGATGTTGCCAAAACTATCCTCTTTGCCTTCAAAAGCTCTATTGTTTCTTTCTTTCCAGAATTTTTGGGTATTATTTCTTTCTTGGCTGATATCCAATAAGGTAGTCTACACTTGATTTTTTCATTTGCTTTCCAACACTAGTAAGAGCAATATCCATTGATTTAACCACATTGAGATGTAAAGCACATTTGTAGTGTTACTAATCACCTGTCTGAGAATATTATATTATACATGGCAGGAACTTCCTCCAGTTCCTCCAGTGGACGTTTTATTGCAGCCCCATCATAAGACGATGCCTGTCGGACTTGTTTTGTCGGTAAGCTCATGGAAAATTTATGCTGCAAACAATTTTTTTGGGAAGCATCTATTTTTTAATACAGGTTCTATAAACACTTGCTGCCTCAAATGCTGGATGGTTAGAGATCTTCTTTATATCAAACCTAATTTGAAATGTTCCAGGTGCTAGGTGCCAAAGTTATTGTAGAAGGAGTGGAGAAGCACAACCCTCTAAACGAGGGTTCTATCCTATGGATAACAGAAAATAGAACCCCGTTGGGACTGGTGGATGAAATATTTGGACCTGTGAAGAATCCTTACTATGTGGTAAGGTACAATTCAGAAAGTGAAGTTCCTGTTGAGATCCACCAAGGCACTTTAATCTCTTTTGTTCCAGAGTTTGCTGATCATGTTCTAAATGATAAGAATCTTTACAAAAAAGGGTATGATGCATCTGGCGAGAATGATGAAGAATTGTCTGATGAGGTGGAGTTTTCAGATGATGAGAAAGAGGCCGACTACAAGAGAATGCAAAAAATGACTAAGAGGGGGACCAGTGATCAAAGGCCTGGGAACAGAAAAAATGTTGGAAAGAAAGTTAAAAATAGGGATGGTGCATGGAAAAACTGTAGACATTCAGCTGAGCAAACACAAAAGGAAGCTGGACAACCACTACTACCACCACAAGACCACATCCAACAGCATCCCTCATCTGCTACGCCATCTTTGGATCATGGTGGCAATTCATCCTCTCTTTCCATTTCCAGCATGGGACAAAGCATTTTAGGTGGAAGTGGCTTTGTTCCATCCTTTCCGCACATGCCTCAAGCTTCTGGGTTTGTAGGACATGGAGTTTGGCCAAGTGGAATGCTTTTTCAGCAGCCACAGAACAGCATCTTTCCTCTACCTGGTGTTATGCCATGGCTGTCTCAAAATCAACAACAGCAAAATCTGTATCCAATGTCTATGGCAAACACAATGGGTATTCCAAACCCATTGTGTATGCCTAACCCAATGGGTATTCCAAACCCATTGTGTATGCCTAACCCAATGCCTATGCCAAGCTTGATGCCACTCCAGCAGCAATTGGATCCAAATCAGAATTCTCTTCCAAATTTGGCTGTACCGATTGGACAACCAAACCCTTTTCCGGGGCCATCACCTGCAATTTGGTCAGGGTTTGCAGGTCAAAATAGCTTCAACCAAACATCTGGGACTGGTGAGTTTTCCAATCGTGGAAGGAAGCCATTCCACCGAGGAGGTAGACATTTTTCTGGCAGAAGAAACCGCGGCAGAAACTGAACTAAAATTGAAACAACAGAATTCAAGTCTTCTTGCACCACTAGAGATGATGATGAGCAATGAGGTTTTCTTTCAATGCAAGGCAGAGGCATTGACTATCCGGGCGGTTACTTTGCATGGCAATGGAGGTTTTGGTTAGTGAAAAATTCATTCTTGACAAATGTTTGCCTTGACAATTAAGTTTTAGAATGCTCTGCCTGCGGCTCCATTTGTCTTAATATTGGTGATGAGATAATTTTAATAATATATTTTGTTAAAATTCTCAAGTAATATTAATTCTTTTGGTACAAATAGGTACATTTTATTAACTAGATTATATATACATATTCATTATAACACAATCTCGTATTGAAGATATATGGAGATGTACATTACAATTCGAATATGCAACTTATTGAGAGAAACATAATTTATCGGTTAAATAATACTATTTAATCGTACTAACTCTTACAATTTATGATCTTTTCCTCAGTCTTGCAACTTGAGATTTGAATTGTTAGGGCAGAGATCTGGGAGAAAGAATAATATAAAGCTCCATTTATCTTTTGCTGGATACAGGGGTAGTGATTGAATGAGTATAGCAAGTGAAATAATGAATCTGAAGGATATTATATTAGGGTTTAATTTTAGTTTTGTTAGACTTTTTGTTAGTTCATTTTTTATTTTAATACAAGAAAATTGTATTTATAAATTTAAAGAAACAAAAAATAAAATAACATAATAATCCAAACCCTGGCACCTGCGGTAGGTGATACCTAAGCATAAATTTTATTGAAGGTTGCAACTGCAATAAAATCTTTTTACTGTGTACTAGTTTTAACTTTAATTTTTTTAATTATTTAATTTGTAAATACATATAAATTAATTAACAATAATAATAATAATAGTAAAAATAATAATGGGTCTTAAAAATTTTTTAAGAAAAAAATATCTATCCATACTTTGATTATTTTCCAACTATACAACTTACATAGTTTCATACACAAAAGACATACATATAAACACAATTCTTTTAAAAAATAATAATAAATCAAATATCTAAAACATTTGCCACATGAAATGATGAAAAACCCACCAAAAACTACAATAAATATTTTTTGCCTCCTAATTTTTCTAGTTTGAAAAGTATATTCTCTTTCTTAATATCACAAAAAATTTGTAAGCAAAGTCAAACAATTGGATAACTCAACCTGTAAGTTGCCTGCCTTCTGTATTCCTTATAGATGGGTGTGATACATGCATATTTAGATACATGTATATGTATGTATATATAAATTGAAGAATGAGATTAGAGCACCAAATCAATCATGGCAAGTCCAAATAATGGCTAAAAGAATAGAAGATATAATAGAAATAGATTACTTAATATGGAAGTCCTTTAACCCTCCTATGAGAACAATGCCAATTGAGATAAGAAATTCAAAGTCGAATTTAATAAAAATGTTTCCTTTTTTTCCCTCTTAAATGTGAGGATTGGCTTGAATGAAGACTGCAACAGCCCATGGAGTTACCACTTAAGAAGAAGGAACTCAGGACCCAAAAGATCCTTTCTGAAAACTTGGTTTTCGCATACCTAGCGAAATTTTCTCTCTCAGCTTTTTGCGTTCCGGGTGAAATCTATGCAAGTCTGGCAACTGCAGTCAGAGAAACGGCAAATCTGACACCCAAAACATACACAGGAAGTACATCCCTCGCAAGTTGGAGAACGGGTGCAGCCCCTGTAGACCCTGCGACTAGCTCGTTCTTCATCATCATCACAGCTAACCCTGTAAACCAAAACCAATGATCAAATATTCGTTAACCTTCAAAATAAGGGCATATTAGTATATCCAAAGCAGCATATAGACATATTTGGTCATGTTATGGTTCAGATATAGAAACATGCCTTATTAAATTTCCAGGTTTAAAGTTCAAAAACCTATTAAGCAGCACTTGAACTGATAAGATATATAGACAATGGCAGATCCATAATACCAAAAGTACAAGACTTATTCTTCTCTTGGAACATCACAAATGGTTGGATCAGAGCATTTCTTGTTTAGATGTGAAAGTCAGACCTAATATTCAAGTAAAAATAATTAAATTAATAGATCCACTACCGGGAACTATAATTAGTAGATTTGTCATAAGGACGACCTTCTTGCACCTCTGGAGCTATATGCCTCTGAAGTATCAAACTAGCCAATTCAAATACCAAAAACGATACGAAGTGTCCAGTGCTTATCCATAGTTGAAATAGTTAAATTAATAGATCCACTACCGGGAACTATAATTAGTAGATTTGTCATAAGGACGACCTTCTTGCGCCTCTGGAACTATATAAATCTGAAGTATCAAACTAGCCATGTCAAATACCAAAAATGATAAGAGGTGTCCAGTGCTTGTCCATATTTGGTCTCCTTTCTCATAGTGTTAGGCACTCTAGGGACAGTCAGTTGTCAATTTATGGTCGTCCCTACATTTTCGCGATCAACATCCCTGATGCTTGCTCTTTTCTTAGTTTTCCACTACTTCACAAACCAGCAGACTACACTTTCACAGATGAAAATACCGTTGTAAATTAGAGATCACACCAATCGAAGATCAGAGGAAACTAGGATCAATCATCATTTCTAGCAATTGCTTGTTTATGACAGGTAGTCTCCAAGAGAATCTATTTATTGTCTTGTTAAACGAAATATCTAAGGTACTTAATTTTATAAGAACTATGGAGTCAAAGAATTGGTCATTTCTTCCACTCAAGGCCTCTCCAAAAATTGTGTTTCAGAAAAGGAGGTCCCTCCAAAAGTCTTGTGAAAGCATTGAACTTCTTGGCTACTGCTACTTATTGCAAATAAAGAATGTTAGGAGTACTTTAAATTACTTAAATGAAAGGAGAATTTTTCCTAAAGATTTTAAGTACATATTGGTGATTCGTAGTCAGGGAAAATCCAGATAGTTTTGAGGGCATAGCTCTAGCAAAATTGCTGACAACCATTGCTTTGTTAATGATACTGGAGATGATAAAAATAAAACTATATCTGGAGGGTAAGACGACATCTGCAGACATGCCAAAAGTATGCTGCCATAAAATAAAGAGAAGATTAGTATTTGCCAATACGCTGCTCATCTTCACCTATTTGTAGGAGACTAAATCAACTATAGTGCTTAAACCTTTATGAAGGGCAGAGAGCCCTGTTTTCCTTTTATGTATAGAAGTTAATAAATCCTCATGAATATAGAAATTTTTTCCAAAATCCCCATGCCCAGCACACACTTCTTTTTCCTTTTTTAGTAATATAATGCACCATTAATTATTCATGATGTTGAGCTGCCAAACTAATTAATACGGACGGACTGCCGTCATCTTACACATTGTGTTATATCTAATAGAATAGAATAGTCAATCAGCACCAACTCCACAGGACATCGTTTTTACATCTAATAAGATTTGAAAGACAATATCATTCTAAGGCTTGTAAAGCATTTTCAGAAACAATCATTAACGTAAACAATGACAAAACTGCAATTGCTACCTTCCAGAAAAGCCAGAAAATCGTGTTAAGTCAGAGCATATGAGCACTAATGCATCTTCAGCTAACAATTAGGGGAAGAAAAATATAATCAACCGGGCAACATTTACAACCAAAGATGCTAACTTTCATAATCTAATAAAGTATATAATCAGGAGAAATTAATTCTAAATAAGATAGAACTTCTAGAAAAGATATGAGTCAATCTAGTAAGTTGACATTCAACAGAATGAAAATAAAAGAACTGATAATTAAACTAACATCAATAAGAGAGAAATTTTCAATTAGCTTAGGAAGGAAACATACTTGTCGTATGGCAGATCAGAACATTTCCAGTTTACATCTGCCAAAGCATCATGGTGAATCCGACATTCCTCTTTGGTCCTCAATCGAAACCTCCGCTCCTTGTTACACTTGCTACAGCGAACAAACTCATCGCGGTGACAGACTCGCCCATTGTGGGATCTATGAGATCCATTGGCATTTTTTGATGATTGATTGTAATATTTGAGCAACGCCGTCTTTGACAATGGAACCTTCTCCCCATTAACTATGACCCAGACATTATTTTTCCATTTTCTAGCTGTCTCTCTTCCAGAATGCTTCTCAAATGCAGCAGGAGTCAACTTGTCTAGTCATCAAATCATCATTAAACAATTAAAATTGAAAAATAATAATAGAAACTTATTAGGAAAAATAATTACTTATCACAATAGCTAAAGGTGAAATAAGATAACATAAGAGTTTAGAAAGTAAATAGAAAAAGAGGATGAAAAATAAAACTCACACACTGGAATTACATGCATTTAATAGTAGAGAGCTTCCTCTGATGCATCTAGAAAGATTGAACAAAAGAAAACTTCTATTTTTTTCCCAAAAAGAAAAGATTGAGTAAGTAAAAACCAAAACGCAAGACTGAGCAAAAAGCACCAAGAGCAGCATGAACATGCTTAGTAGTATAGCATTCACACTGAACAATACATGGTTCTTGACATGAAGTTCCCGCCATTGTACTTGTTAGATTCTTGACAACCATAAAATTGCCAATTGTACATGGGAAAATAGTAAGAATGCTACATGACTTTTGGTCCACAACGTTTCCTATGTAGGTCCAGTGTATGGATGATTTACTTTTTCAAGTCTGAATCAGTAGAAGTGGCTGACCATTTTGTCTTTTCACTTGGGAATGAATAGAAGAAAAAACTCACCCCTAAATAAGCAACCTTGTGATTAAAACTTAAAACTACATGAAAGTTTTAGAACTAATCAAGCCACGAAATCAACCTCAAGTTGACACCACCTATCCCTGGTGTTTCCAGACCTGGTACCAATAACAAGCCATCCCATTATAATATCACCATACATACACATAATCATGCAAACTATTACAACTCATCAGATGTCAGAAGATGTACTGTTGGAAAGTTCAAGTTGTATGTACTACTTGCTCACAGTAGTATCATGGAAACAGAAACGACATGCAGACAAGAGAACACATTAAAGACACAAACTTCACAATCTGTCTGCACGGTTGTTAATCTGAATTCATATTTCATGTTTAATCCCTCCACGAAAACGTTTCTTTTTAGTTGCCGGTCATATCAGCAGCCATGAATGAACCCAACAACCTTCCTGGTCACCACTTCATATTGTTATAATTATGCTAATGAAAACGCAAGAGGAAAAAACCGAGAATAAAGCCGGTTCAATAGGCTCCTACATAAAATCCTACTCTGTCTAAAAAACGGAACAGAACTCCCATGGGGAAAATATCAATGCTTGAAACGCCTGATCTGAGACGTTACAATCATGACAACAATGATGATGGAGGCCATATAATAATGGTACCAAGAGAAAAGATAAGGCATTTAATAGCCCAAGAAGCAAAGTTTCAATCTGGACAAAGACCAGACGGTAAAGAATGAATAAAAGATGAATCTGGACTAGCTTGTTTGCGTAAAAATACGAAAAACTCAGTCGCTGAGACAAAACAGCATACACTTGAACTGTGTAAGAGAAGAAAGAAAAAGAAAAACCAACAAACAAGTTGCAGAGATCTCCATCGCTCACCACGCTCTCTACACCCAAAGCAAAAGATTAAACAACGGAAAGCGACACCCATCAACGTCAATCTCAGAGCTTTACATGCATTCAACATGCATAAAAATCAAAACCCAACAACCCATTTTCCAAAAACATTAAAAACATAAAACGAGAAAGAAGAAAGGTAAGACGAAGAGAGAGGGAGAGAGAGAGAGACAAAGAGAGAGAGAGAGAGAGAGAGGGAGGGAGGAAGAGAGAGAGACCTTCGTTACAACCAGGGGTGCATTCACAGGTGATTTCAAGGAAGCCATTAGAGAAAACCCTAAGCTTGCCAACAGCATCACCATATCTATGACTGGTACACCCACACGTCACCTCTACATAGTCCCCTCCTCTCTTGACCCCACTAATCTCACTCAGTTCCTCCTCGCTAAACATCATCATCATCAACCCACTTTCTCACTCTATCCCATGCGCTAGTTACCCCACCCGCTAGAACAACAACACAGACAGACAGCACACAAACTTCTCTCTGTATCAAATCAAAAGAGAGAGAACCCTGAAACCCAAAACCAAAGAAGAAGAAGAAATCAAGGGAAAGGGGTAATGTCGAGAAGCGATGGCGTGGTTTTGGAGTATAAGAGGGAAAACCCAGAAGAGGCACGCATCTCCAAGGGGGGGGGGGGTTAAAGCGAGAGATCTGGTGGAGTGAGAGAGAGAGGGTTTTGGTTTTATAGAGAGAGGGAGAGAGGGTTGGTTTGAGTTGGATGTGTGAATGAGCTGGCCGTGCCAAGCAAGTGTCGCGAGGGTGAGGCGTGGGAAGATATAGCCAACGGGCAGAGAGAGAAAGAAGACAATTCAAAAAGCTAAGTGTGCTATTTTGCATGACATGACACGAGACAGATAGATTGGGAAATTTGGCTAATTGGGTATTTTTCAAACCTAATTTCAATTTGTAGATTAGGTTGAAAGCACCGATTTTTTTTTTTTTAAGAAAAAAATTCACTAAATTGTATGCCTTTTAATGTCTATAATTTACCTTTTATTAATAAAATTATATGATATTCCAAAAAAGCTTTGATTTTTTTTAAGCTTTTTCAATAAATTTTATGACTTTAATATAAATAACTTACCTTTTATTAATAAAGTTGTGAGATTTTTGTTAAAAATAATAATAATAATAATAATAAAGTCTAATAGATAAAGACTCTACCTTTGAAGAAGAGAGAGATGAATCAAATTGATTTTATTGGTAGTAAGTTAGGATTTAGTGGACTTTCAATTTGTTGAAATTCTTAAGTGATTTTGTGGGTAATAATTTTTTTTTATTTTAGGTTAAAAATCACTACTTATAATCATGATTAATTATTGTGTAATTTGAAAATAATTTCTAAATTATTTTTCAAATTATTAATTATTTACTATATAAAACAATTCACTTTTTGCAATAAATGGAAGACAACCAACATCACTATTTTTTTTTTTTTAACATATAATTATTTACTTTTAATAATTACACGATTATTAAGTTTTGTTCCATTAAATACTAATTATAAACCAATTAATTTAAGACTATAACAACACTTTTTACAAACTAATTTAATCAGTCATAAAATATATTCAATTAAAGTAATATCACGATCATAAAATTTTTGAATTTATATATAAAATATATTTTTAAAAAAATAAGATGAATATTAAAAAAACAAAAAAAACAATGTCATAAATAAACCAAAATAAATTTTAAAATAACAATTATTTGTACCTTGTAATGTTTACAAGTTGTACTTATAAATTTTTTTATACTTAGATACTACATGGTTGTACTTTATTATAATTATAACTTAATTATTACGTTTAATTTTGAGAAATAATATTAATTTAACAAATAAAATATAAAATATAATGTATAGATATGGTTAATGGGAAAATTTCAATCATGGGAAGTAGTACTAAAGAATCAAGTTTTACAGAAATAAGAGCCAAAGTGCATTAGACATTAATCCCATAATTAATTTCAATAAATTATTATTTAAACCACCCCAACTTGTTTTATTATTAATTACCCAGTTTCGGTAAGTGGGTAAATTTTATTTATTTAATTAAATTTGGCTGCATAGACGACAGTTGTTTTGCAAATAAAGAAGATCTTGTTTTACTGTTTTAACTACTGACAGTAAAAAAAAAAAAGGGGGTGTAAAGTGTTTGACAGGACTATATATATATATGTATATATATACATATATATATATATATGTGTATATGTATGATGAAGTTGTATGGAGTGAGTGAGACATATGGGATCCTAATGCTGATTCAGCTACCAGGCAGTTTTTGGTGACATTCTGACACTCCTAATCTCATTAGTCAATTACATAATTTTACATAATTCACGCCTTTTGTTCTTCTCTTTATTTTGTGGAAAATCACCAAATTCTTCTAATGATTTTGAACTTTTTTAACAATAATAATAAAATACATATAGAATTATATATATATATATAATTAAAATAATAATACTAACAACTTGAAAATAATGATTAAAATAATAATAATAATAATTGAGATAATATTGATAATTATATTATTACGATAATAATAATAATAGTAATAATTGTAACATGTATATTATAATAAAAATGTATATATAAGCATTGTATTAATAATAGAATGATAATAATAATAATTGAGATTGCGAGTATTGTAACTATAACGAGTATTATAAATTTTCTTTTAAAATATTATTTAATTTGACAATATTTATTCATATCTCATAATATTACTTTTATAATATATAAAATAAGTAATAATTTATCTATCGTATTAAAAAATTTTATTATAATATTTTATAAAATGATAAATTATATATTACTAAGTAAAGTTTAAACTAATGATTTTTAAATAAAAATATAATAATTTTTTTATATATTTTGTATTTATTAAATTTAAAATTTATTTTATAAATAATATAAAATACGATTATAAATTATAGTTATTTTTATCCAGTCCAATAATGAACTAAATCTAGACAATATCAAATCATTATTAAAAAAAAAAAGTTATGAATATTTTTGTTTCAAGGATTTCTAATTTTTAATTTGAATATTTTATTTATTATAAAATTATATTTATATATATATAAATATACAGTTTTCATAAATAAAAAATAAGATAAAAATAAATATTAAAAATTACGTGTGAATATAAAATTCATAAAAATTTACGTTCTAACAGCTCATACCACTTTGCTTGTAGTAGGAAAAGTAAATTACATTGGATGCGTTGCATATTACCCCTACTACAAAAATAAGTATATATACATTGTATACTTTTATCTTATAGAAATATATATATATATATATATATATTGAATTGGTGATGTACATTCATGTATTAATTATAATACTGTATAAATGTTTTTAAATGATAATATATATATATATAGTTTGAATTAAATTTATAATTTTTTATAAAAATAAATGCATTAAATATTTAATTATATTGTAATTTTCTTTACATAATTTATGAAACGGATGCATAAAATTCATTTTAAGAAAAAGCGTGTGGATTATACTTTATTTATCATATTTCTTTAAGTCATTTTTTAATGCAATTATTAAATAAAATTAATGTATTGCACTTTAATTATTTTATACGTTTCTATATATTAAAGGTGTGTCATTCGAGTATTAGTTTGACATTATATATTTTTTTATAATTAAAAACTATTTTAATATAATTTTTTTTTGTATTTTATATTAATGAAAATGGTGATATACAATCTAATGCCCCCGTAACTTAAAAATAAAATAAAATCATAAATTGAATGTAGAAACAGAATAATTGGGTTAGAGTTCACATTTTTTACCAAATAATTTAAAATACCCATTAGGGTTACGAGAATGTCCATTCTAAAAGAACAAATGAAAATAAAAAAAATAAATAAAAAATAAACAATTTAGCATCTTATGATGACCTTCACTAACTTTTGAAGGAGTACAGGTAGTAAATTATTCACAACCTCTTTATTGATGGGGATCTGGATATTGATCCTCTTGATCTGAAATAGTTTATGAATGGGTGAGCTACACTAACCTAGTAATAATATTACATTACTCACCGATACAGAAAACTGAAGGTTGGTAAAAATTATAAAAATAATCAATAGAACTCTTAATTTAAGTAAATTTATTTATAATAAGTAAAACCATTTATTGCATACTTACTGTTGCGAGATTTTCAAAATCGATCTACAGAGACAATAATTCAAATAGCATTCCATTTTCAAGTAAGCAAAAATAACAACATTCATTTTTTATTTGCTTATTGGTATTCATAGGGGTCTATAAGGATATCTCACTACGCGTGAACTATTATTCAATATTGTCAACTAACCAGCCGTCTCCACATCCCGTCTGGTATGAGCGCCAAGAATGTCATCTCTCAATACCATGTCCAGTATGGGTATGAAACAAGCCGTCCCCATACCCCGTCCGGTATGAGCGCCAAAAATATCAATCATCGATACCCGATCTGGTATGAAGCGACGTTTACGGTAGGGTTTCCTATGTACCCGGTCCGTCTACTATCTCCCAAGATATCCAATAAATCTACTATTCATTCATTCACTTAACCAATTAATTTTTCGTTTACATTTAATTTTCAGTTTCACGGTTTAACCGTAAATCAACGCAAGACAAATAATACATGCATTAATAAAACACAACTGAATCATTTTACCAATTACAGTATGTTATCGTGCATTTAAAGCTGTAAAATCAAACAATCGGTTAAACATGACAAATAATAATATGTAACTGATTCTGTCTCCATTAGTAACATGTAATTAATTCTCAAAATTTTATAAATTACGTAAAATGCCGTACTATTGATAATTAAACTTCAATTCCATAACAGGGAATAAGGTAAGAGATTCTAAGCTGAATCGGTGTCTGAAATATCGAACTTTCAGCTATGCCTACTAACAGTCCCTAGGTTTTCTGAATTTTTCTGTGGAGGTTAAAATACGTTTTATATACCTAAAAATACAACAAAAAAAAACTCAAAATCGCTGTTAAAAATTTTTTCCGGCCAAATTTTAAAATTCCAGCACGGCAGCACCGCAGTTCGTGGTGGTGATTTGCCTCAGACTGGCCATTTTCGGCCAGTTTTATACCCATCCCTACGAGAAAACATGTTAGCGGGCTTTGGTTGGCAAAAAAAAGTCAAAAAAATAAAAACTTACTAGCGGCAAAATTTTCCGGTGCGGCGACTCCGCCGATTCACCTTCGTGGTTGAGCGTTTTTCTTCAGTCAACCTGTAGAAAACAGAGTGGTAAACACAATTGTAACACCCCATTTTTTTTTTCTTCCTCCTAATGGCATAAGATAAAACACTCCTACGACTCGACATGCAAATCCCATGTCATTCCAATTATGCATAAGAGAAACTTGTCCACAGTTCATTATTCCAAATCAATTGTACATACAATTCCACCTCTACATCACATGGCAACACATTATCATATATTTCCAGAAATTCAATACCCATACTAAGACACCATTTTTCAAATTACTTTATACCACAAATAAAACTTATGCTCTATGGCACTACAGACTGGGCTCCGTTACCAGCGGCTAGGATCCCGGCTCCGTTCCTACTCCATCTGTAAATGATGAGAAGTGAGTTCACATAACTCAATACGATAAAAATCAAGTTGTACGTGTAGTATGCAGTGACAAGAAATTTAGAAATGTCTAAATACAGTTATCCTACCCAACCCAAAACAAATTATAACACTCCCCTACAACTAGCCATCAAGATCCTACCCCAAAGGAACAATTCGGGCAAT